CACACACACACACACACACATATCTCGAAAATTACACAGGGCAATATATTTAATTATATTTGACGAGATATTAGTCGATTTCGGATACCTTTGCTTCGATTTGCAACTTTTTTAATTCAAAAAGAAGCAATTCTGCATTAGATACAGAATCTCCCAATTGATTGCAACTGCCCTCTAATGCAGCAATTCTGTCATTGAGAATTTCTTCGAGATTACGAAGATCGGTCGCGAGCAGCGCGAGAGCAAGACATTGCTCCAATTGAGTTTTTCTGCTACGAAAAATTGTCTCGATCAACCGCCTTCTATCGTGTAGTTCTTCCAGCCATTTTTCAACTCGTAATACGGCTAATGAAATATATTTATATTTCATTATTATATTTTTTTTATCATAAAAATTTTAATTTTATGATAGTGATCTAGCTAAATAGATAAGCAATTAATTAATTTATTAAATAGACATTTGACATACCATGATTAGCTTCATCTTTAATCGTATCCGACCTAGAATCTAAAGTGCCTTCGTTTATCAATTCCTTAAGTTCATCCAGCAATGTTTTACCCTCCCGCAAAGCACCCATCAATCCTTCCAACATATCTTTGCGAAGATCCTGAATCTTCGATAGAAAACTTTTTACTGCTTCTATTTCGATCGGTAGTAATGTGTTGTTACATGCCATTTCCAACGCCTCCATATGTTCTCTACATTCTGCCGCACGACTAAAAAAATTAAATCTATTTTGTTAAATAATTAATTCAAAAGCACAAATATATGATTAATTAATTACACTTTGCTGTACCATTGAAATAATACGTTTCGGTCAAGTATTTTCTTACGACGTTCTAAAAGTTGATTTATATCGTGCCATGCTTGACCTAATGTCTCCGCCATGGCAGTGTATACTTCTGCTCTTGGTCTCTGAGTCGTGATTAATTGATCAGCTTGTCGCAATAATTCTTCTACCGGGCTTTGTTTATTCTGATTATAAAGTAAAGTTTTAATTAATGGAGATCTTAAGCACTTCTAATTTAATTGTATTTAATATAAACTTTTACACAATTCGAAATTTATTTTGATACGTTTAACTTTACCTGTAATCGGAGTAACACTTGATCGTGTGCGTTCGAAAGTTCCATGGCTTCTTTTACGGAAGCACCAAGTTTCGTTAATTCTGGTTGTAGCTCGAGTATTTTCAGCTTTAGCCATTCGCCGCTCTGAACAAAAATGATAATAAAACGATGTATAGTGATAAACCATCAGATATTTTCCGAGTCTTCCGACAGTATAAACGACATGACATAGATAAACTGAATATTATTAAATACTCATTCTTCATTGAATGATCATTTTTGCAATTACTAGAATATTGTATTCATTATTTTAAATAATTGTAAAGTATAATAAATAGCAAAGAAAAGCTAAAAAAAATGTTCGTTTGTTTATACAATATAAAGATTATTTTAATTATTTTAATTTATTTAATTATTTTAATCTCAAATAAATTTTGAAATTATCTAATAGTCACATATACAATGTCGAAAATCATATTCAGAAGAGAGATCTTTTCCTCTAGCATTATTAAAAAGAAAAGATAGAAAGTAAAAAACGAGTATAGACAGAAATCGACCCTCCAGAGTTCATCAACCTCGTGAGGTTCGGCTGCAGAAAGGAGCAAGATATGTTTCCATTTTCATCTTTGGCATACTGCCGAATAACTACATTTGGATTGACCAATTCTCTCTTCTGGTATATCGCTGAAATTATTTCTTTTTTTTTAAAGTAGTGAAAGAGATATATTATTTTATGATCACCTTTTTAAAGATATCAAAATAATTGACAAAATTAGCAAATACTCAATGTATTTGTTAAAAGCTCGAGAAATATATTATATTGTATTATAAAAAAAAATGTCATTTGTGATTTACAGATTAGAGTAAAAGTAGAAAAGATTATACACCAGTAATAAAAATAATTATATTAATTATATTAATTGTAATTTTAATTTCTTAAGTATTATTTGTTGGAAATTACTCAAATTAATCTGATATGCACAACATGCAATAATATTAAATAAATTCTCATGCTTGACAATGTTAGTCATTGCATTGTAAAAATATGTTTATGCGTGCTAAAAATCTTTATTTAATATTTTCTCTCTTGTTTCGGACGAAATACTATTGTATTAGATTGGTACATATGATATAGACTATTATAGACGAAAAAGTACGATAAAAGAAAAAATTATGTTACTCGTTCGCCACTGAGCCGGGCCAGGTTGGGCTCAAGCTGCCTCGACTCGTCTCGTATACACGCGCGCGCATGTGTGTGTGTGTGTATATGTCTGTGTGTGTGTGTGTGTGTGTGTGTGCGCGCGCGCGCGCGTGCGTGCGTGCGTGTGCGTGTGTGTGTATATACCGGTTTGTTAGATTATACGAGAGTATGCAGATCCATACTATGAGAGATCTCTCTTACTTCGATTAGTTTATCGATTATCCAATCTACTTATAAATTAATTTTGGAGGATCTGTTATATAGTTTATTGTGATTTAAATTAAATAATTTATATTAGGATACAAATTTATATACATACATAGTTTTTCCTTCTTTCAAACTGCATGAAATTAGAATTAGAAATTATATTTAATTTTAAGCATTAAAAAATATTTGTCTTGTTTTCCGGTCTTTTTCACTTGATAAAAATTTGAGATAATAAAAATTTAAATTTATAATTAATAATAAAACACTTAAAATGTAACTTGCATGGATTGTGCAATCGTGTTTCTAAATACTTCGGAATCCAACGTAACGTACACAAGATGGGTTTATCTGATCATGGTGATGTGTAATGGGAGTTACTGTACCTAGTGGTTAAATTTATCCTTCGTAGAGTTTCGGGAGACTTGTTTTGCTCAGCGGATACCTAAAATGCTTACGGTTTCGAGAGGATTCGGAAATAGCTATAGACCGAAGCAACTGAATCCCGAAATACCTACACCATAGTGTCATACATGAAATTGCAATGAAAAATTATTCTTTACTAAGAATTATTTGAATAAAATAATTCATATCTAATATATTTTATTTTCACAAAGATTTTTAAATAATGTTTTCCAAAACTTTTAAATAAAATAAAATAAAATAAGTTGCGTTGACAGAACAAAACAATAACAAATACAAAAAATATAAATTATTATTATATAGATTAAAATGCAATACATGTTTCTTACTTGAAGTAAAGCGATTACTACACGCGTTTCTCCACTTTGCACAGCAATGGTACTTATAGTAGTAGTTGGAGAGATGATTTGTTGTGGCGTATCCTCATTTCTTTGCATGACAATTTCGGAATTTGTCTCAACAGATCTTTCGGGATGCACGTGTGCCATTGAATCAGGACCATCCACCATCATTGTTAATTTTATCTTTTATGTGATAATCAAAACGTTTCAGATCTGTATTAGCAGAATTATATTCGCGGCATAATTATATCATGAAATACTCACTCGATGTTTATATATGCTACGAATTAAGCAATAGTTGACAATATAGCTGCTGAAAATTAAAATAGTGTTACACGACTTTATATCGACGTTTGGACCGAACATACACAGTGATTTCAATGCCTGGTGCTAAATATATTACAATGACGTACGTCGATATAAAACGCGACAATAAACATTTAGCTCATAGATATTCTCAAAGATTTTACAGATAAAAAATATATTAACATGTTTTCGAGTTGGCTCTTTCGAATTGTCTTTTCTAATTTACTTTATTTTTGGCTTTGCCAAAGATGTTAATACGAAAATTCTGTGAATGTAAAATTGAAGATGATTGTGTCTATAATACAAATAGACAAACTAAAGATATTTAACTGGCAAAAGTTTTTTCGCGACTGAATATTCAATGTTGTCTTATCTCTTTAATTTGTACTAATTTCTTAAATTAAAAATATAAAAGGAATATAATTTTTTTATCAAAGTTAAAATATTTCTTCTACGCGAAAAGGAATAACAATTTGTTAATTTACAGTTACGATCAATTGAAAATATATACTGCGTACAGTAATATCTGTGTTTTTTTCTTTTTGATACAATATATTAATACTTTATGTAGATATCTTTGTGTGTACGATGACGTCATTTACAGAGACGAACAAATGGTAGAATAAAACCGGACTGACTGGTAACTTTCAACAAGTAACGTACGGTGAAAATCATACGTAATCGGAGATGATCCGATAAAAATATCAATCAATATTACAAAAAATTTTTTATATGTTTCTTTATTGGATAAATTTATGATTTCTCTCGTTACATCAGAGGACTGTTCAATTATTTGCAAATAATTTGATCGACTCTTTATATCTTAAAGAAATTTTCCAATTAACACACACATACACACACACACACACACACACACACACACACACACGCACGCACGCACGCACACACACACACACACACACATACACACACACACACACACACACACACACATATATAATCGGCAATTATAATATAAATTTGCGTGTTTCAATATTTAATGTATAATTATAAATTCTTTTTTTACTTTTTATAATTCAAATTAACAGGCTTTTGTTCTTTTATGTAGTAAATTTTTTAATTAAAAAGACGGGAAAACTTTGCTTTATTTCGTCTTTCTTAATAAGCAGATTCATGATTTTTGACATTTTAATTTGATGTATGATGCACCAAGTTATTTTTTATATGAAAGTTTAATTTTTACTTGGCACGGTATAACAATCACCTAAATTCGATTCGCGTTTAAGCGGTATTGTTAGTAAGAATGACGACAGCAACGGCAGTAACACTTGCGTGACACATGTCACGAGTGTATCACGTCACCAGCCGATCGGTTGCAGTAACCAGCCGAACCAAGACTGAACCGACAGAGCGCAGTACGGCCTCCGGCCAGTCCGCACTCCGGTTAGCCGGGTTAGCCTCCGGCCGGTTGCCTCCCGCTCACCTTCGTTGCGCTCGTCGAACACGCTCTACAGAGCAGAGTTGCGCAGGGCAACAGTTTCGAAAGTGAAATTGTCGATTGTAAACGAAAAAAGTCTTTAAGTGTAATATATGATCATCTAATATATTTTTAATTAAATTTTATTATGTTAAAAATTATCACACACAATTTCTTTTAAACATCTTTTATTTACACGAATAACAAATGCGTCATGCGATACATATTAAAAATTCATGACAACATATCAACGTCTGAACTGTGTAGAAAGTGCTATATTGAAAAAAACATGAAGAAAAGTTTATGTCGAGCAATTAATGAAAAGCGATCCATTTCGCGAAGATCGATCTATATCCGCATACGAAGTATGGTTTATATCGAGAAAGCAAGATTAAAATAGGATTAAAATTAAAACATTAAAAATCAAGACGATTCCCGTTCTCAGTCATACACATATAAAATTTATGAGAAAAAAATATTGCGGTCTTCACGCCTCGCGCAAATGGACCACTTTTCATTCATTTCTTGACATAAACCTTTCTTCATATTTTTCTCAATGTAACTTCTACGACTCAGGCGTCGATATTATATAATATTACATTAAAGTTATTATATAAAGTATTTGCAATAAAGTTACAGACAGCGAAGCATAACGAATACGCAATTAACAATTCTTAATTCTTTTAATCCTGCCGATTCTATATAATACATGTGATATTTTCAACAGCAAACATATGTATAAACATCTTTTTCTTTAATCAAAATCATAAAATCTATATTTGCTGATAATATTTGTTTTTATCAAATTCTTAATATAAAATTTGTCTTCATCAAAGCTGCAAATAATTTTTGGTTGTAAGAATTAGATAGATAATCATTGTTATATTTAATTGCAATAATAAAGGAAAACAAAACTTACAAATTTAAATGAATAAGAATTGTTCTAAACACATATCAAACAGCTAGCATATTAAAATGTAATAAACAAAGAATTTGAAAGAAAAAAGGTTGATCAAACGTCGGTCAAAGATAGTAGCTTTGTCACCAAAATTACACTTACAAACTCACCTTTCTTGTTTTTTCAAGAAAATCTTCACCTTCTAAATTATCTTTCTGCATCGATGATATTTTAATTTCGCTATCCTCATAATGTCGTAAAAGATTTTGCGAAGGCAACGGTGTATCCTCATATTCTCTTAAATTAGAGCATGTGCTTTCATTCAACACATGTTCTCGGATTTTCGTTGCAATATTTTGATCCGATTGCACTTTTTTCGAACTTTTGCCAGTATACTTTTTAGGTTCTTCTGTTAAAAAGAATTTAGTTATAAAAGAGTGAATATAATAATAAGAGTTCATTATTTTTTATTACTATATATAAATTATTATTATACTATAGTATACAAAGAATTATTAAAATTATAAAAATTACAAAATACTAACTGAACGAAGATAAATCGAGATGATAGTGAATGTCATCTGTTTTTTCGCGCGATTCTGCTTCTAGCACACCTTCTACTTTTTGAATATCTTTCACGTCAATATATTGCCGATGGTCTTGCACGGTATTTGATATCACTTTATAAGAGGCTACGCCTAATCGAATGTCGTGCAAAACACGCAAAACGGTTGTCTCGGTAACTTCTTTTATAATTTTGTTTGACTTTTCCTACGCAAACAAATCATAACTTGTAATACTTTAAAAGTGTAATAATTACACTGCTTGATACAATATTAAATGAAAATTGAAGTAATTGAAGTAAAGGACTTTAAAAAATATACATATATTTTATAAACAATACAAAAAGATAAATACAGTAGGCTAATGAGAGTCAGCAATAATAAACGCAATTATTTAGTGAACAATCAATAATCAGATATTGAATTGATGTTTTCTTTATTTTTCAATTCTCTTTGAGATCCTCCTCAGCAAGAATGATAAAAGTATAATTAGCTCGCATGTCCATAATGTTTAAGTCACTCGCAAATTGACGAAGATGCAACGATATTAATCATCACGGAACATGAAGCATGTGCCGTTTGTCGTTGCTAATTCTCATTAGCCTACTATTTATCTTTTTGTATTGTTTAAAATTTGAGAGTCCTAATATAATTATTGTTATATATATATATATAAATTTTTTCCTTTGAGAATCAGTTTACTAACTGAATTATATAACATACATTAGTAATTTTATCCATTGTTTTCATTTGTACTGTTGGGTTTATTCCACTGATAGTTGAAATATTTGATGTTGTTTCAGGAAATTTTTGATTTTCATTGATCGAAGAAGAAGTAAGAGGTGCAATTGTAGTTATTAGTTTAGGCTTTTCCATGGTCCACCTTTAAATGTTTGCAATTTTCTGAGTTGATGAAAGATTTTGTTGCAATATATTAAAAATGGATGCATATTATTGATTTTAATTGATACTCATAATTTTATTTGATAATTAAAAATAATTAAAATTCATATAAATACCAAGTGGAACCAGAATATGTCATCACGGGTGCAGAAAGATCTTCGCATTCCGGCGATGTTACGAAAGATTCACTTCTCGAACGTGGAGGTGGAGTTGTTGAACATTCAGTTGCTGTTGTATAACCCTCCACATTATATTCTCCTATTGCACTTTCGCTACGAGACTTTTCGATAAGTTCCTATAAAAATAAAAAAAGATGAAATTATTTTAAGAATGTTTTAAAATATTTTTCTAAGAGAGAAAAGGAGAAGAAAAATATTTATAAATCAATATTAAAATCAATATTAATATATACCTTAGAATTAAAATCTTTATTTGATATTTCGACATTTTCCATAGATTGCGAACGAATATGAAATGAACTGTCATCAAATTTTTCCATTGGAGGAGTAATAGATTTAATTACATCAGATTTGATTTTTGTAGCTACAATTTCCGAAGTTATTGGTTGCATTTCAGCAATTATAGATACGGCTGAAGTTGTCATATTCGACATCAATGTAGTCGTGTTAGAAGCCGTATGCATGGACTCGTTTGACAGCGACATAGCAGGTATCGAGAACAAGGACGAAGCAGAAGACGTCACAACGGCAGGAATAGACATCGGTCGAGTTTTAGCTCCAGCTTCACATAGTCTCGCATCCAGTTTTTCCGCGAGACGCGTAACTTCCGCTAATTTCGCCGAGATAGCTTCGACTGCTGTCAAATTATCACCAAAGATCGAAGCATCCTCAACTTTAGACATCCTAGAAAAGCGAATTTATTGATCAAATTAACTTTCTAAATAGATGTTTTTATTCTGGAGTTTAGAAATTTTTAAATATTATTTATCCAATATTAATATCCATTGTTAATGAATCTCGTAAGCTTTGTACGATATTATTACTTTTTGTTGTTTTATATTAATATTACTTTTATAGTTTCGTTATAATTGTGTGTAAAATAATAATAAAAAAATTTAAGAATAAATTAAATATATTGATAGTACTTTCAAATCGTATTCATATCAATTTCAATATTGGTTTTTTCAAATGATTTTTTTCATAGGATTAAAGATAGTTTAGTTTGTAATCGGAAAATAATTAAATTAAAAGTATAAGTTGAATTAAAAATAGGACATAAGAAAATGTTACGTAATTAATAATTGACAGTGCATTGACAGTACATCGCGGCGTCACATGGTCTATGCAATTTGGGGCAAAGTTCTAATTTCGTAGCTCACGTTTGCTTTACGAAGCGTCATAATTGATTTCTATATTAAATCTTAAGAATCTTAAAGATAGATTTATTGAAAAAATGTTTAATCTAAGTTTTTGAACGTTATGATTTTTTTATACAGTTCTTCTTTTTTATTACTAAGATAAATGTACCAAAAATAATCTTCGTGATGTGTACAATACGGTAGATGAAATCTTCTTGATGCAAACTAGTTCACCAAAATATTATTGAAACGAGATTCGCGTTTACCAGTTGAGTTTTAAGTTAAGACGTCACTGTGGAACGAAGCCAAAGAAGTGTGGACCATGATATTTTATTATTTATAAATATTGTAACAATTTTTTAGAATGTAATTATTCAATGCTAAAACAAAATTTGTAAAATAATCGTATTATAAAGTATAGATTTAGAAGAAGATTGCTAAATAATATTTTTATGAAGAAATTTCGTGGATGCCTATTACACGGATTAAACATAACTAATAAAAAAACTGTGTGTGTGTGTGTGTGTGTGTGTGTGTGTGTGTGTGTGTGTGTATATATATATATATAGAATAAAAAATAATCTGTATTTAAATTGAATCAAGCGTTATGAAATGTCAATTATCTTATTGCAGTTCACTTACATGCACCGTTTCTAAATTATAGAAGCTATCTCGACGAGAGCCAGCCATAGACTGACATACACTCTGGTAAACACGCAAGCGTTCCACACACCAAGCGTATATTACACTACATTTACTAATTATTATATTTTATTTATTATCGAATTGTGTTTTATAAAAATAAAAAAGAAAAATTTTAAACATTTCTTATTTCGATTTATGTTATTATTAAAACATTTTTATAGAATTATTTTTACTTTATAATTTTCATTTTTTTAACGCTATTTCTTTTGCATAATTGTGTAATTCAAATCATACTAATCTCTGAGGCGTAATATCTTCATTAATGTAACAGTTTATTAGTAATTATATTAATGCGGAACAATTCTTTTTATACTTACGGTTGATTATAAAGAGGTTCCTTCAACCTCGTCTTAAGGAGACGACCTAATCTTACCATCCGACCAACTTCCAATAAAAGTTTCTCTCGATTATCAAGGATATCTCTTATACTTTCTTTGATGCGTACTTTTGCCACTGCATCTTCATCTTTTGCAAAATGATACAAAGCCGTCACTGTTTCCGCCAAATTTTGTAATCCGGTACAATGCTTTAAATAAATTCATTTAAAATATAGAAAAGACAGAGACAATATATATAGTAGATAATGTATAAAATAATGATTCTTTTATTTTAAAATATTAAAAGAATAGAATACTTAAGCAACTTTTGAATTTACATATTGAATTATATTAATTTACGTTCATACATCTTCGACGTTTCTATGAAAAACAGCGCATACTCGTAGTCGGGTTAATTGTTCCTGACTAACAGATCGGAATTGTCGCCAAGCATGTCGTAATTTTGAAGATAGATTAGCGTTACCCTCTAAAGATATTCTGCAAGATAATCTTAGTACACGTGCTCCAGTCACCAATTGACCACCATATTCGTAAGTTCCCTGTAAATATTTATCTTATTATATTTATGTGCTTGACAATTCTACAGAAAGTGAAACAGAATAACTCTCTCTACAGAATAACTCTATTATTGCTTTTGTTTTATCTTATGAAAATAATTTGTAATAGTAATCACGCTATAAAATTACTTTTGCTGTTTCTTGAAAAGATTGGTGTTCCTCTTTTTGCAATTGTATTTCCTTGACATTACAACCAACTTCCATGTGATTTCGAAGTAAAACATTGAATAAATCATTTAACCATTTAACAGCCTGGAAGGTACAATAGACATATAGATTTATTATATTTTTTTACACGCATTAAAACATTTTTGTATTATATCTTAGTCCGTACTTGTTCGGCATCGCTCTCGTACATGTATATCAAAGCTATCTGTTTCAATGACAGCTTTTGTAATTCTACACTGTCATTAAATATATTCTTTCTGGCATTTGTCGCATCTAGTATATCTTTGACATTGACGATATCTTCATCGTAATTTACATGAACTTCTCGACCAAGTGCATCCTTTACGGGCATAGAAAGAATGTCCGACAATTTTTCACCTTCTTTTATAAGCTCGCGTTCTAAACTGTCTGAAAAATTATTTAAACATGAAACTGAACAAATATTAATAACTATCAAAATAATGAGTCATCTTTACCTAAAATCGTTTGACTTTTTTCCAAAGTTAAGAGTTTAATGCTTGCTTGAGAAAAGTTGTAATTCCTATTGCCCATGACTAATTGCTCAAATACTTCACTAGTCTTATCGAAGTACTGTAATAATAAATAGCAAAAAAAACCACTTTCAATTGCTAACAACTAGGTCAATAAAAATTTGATTTCTACCTCAGAAACGAGTCTAAAGAATCTTTGCGAAGTGATTAATACATTTCTACGTCTTTCGAGTCGTGAAGCGAAGCTACGACAAACAAAGTCCATAAAATCTCTTTGAGATTTTAAATCTTCTGGTAGTTTACTTTTAGGTAGACTATCAATTTTATGAAGCAGCTCTGCATATCGCCCATAAGTCTCCTGTAAACACATTAGAATTATATCCTATGTAATACTTTTTAAAACGAAACAAATTTTTAAAACAAAATGAAAATTATAAAATTTTACTCATTTACCCGGCATTGAAGCTCAATTTTTTCGTGTTGCCTTCGGAGTTCCTCGGATGAAGAAACGTCGAAACCAACCTGACAACAAGAGTTCAGCATTACGTCTGCTGGACCCAAGATCCAATCAGTAACGCTTGATACACCCTGTTCCAGATTTTCGATTACTCTCGCAGTATCCAGATTTCGTTCCATTTCTGTCCATGAATTTTCAATGTCCATCTGCAAACGATAGAATAGCATTGTATTAAAACATTGTACTAAATACATATAAAATAAATTTAAATATGCCAAGTAAATGTGATTAAATAACCTGTTTTAATTCAATAGAATCGAGTAGCTTATGAATTCCTTTAATCGTATCCAAAATATCCTTAGAGGATTCTCTACTCATGGAACTTACTAAATTCCTACCTAAATAAATGAAATTTAACTTTTTCCATTATTTTTACATAAGAGACATCATTGCTTAAAATAAATTTTTATTAGCATCAGTTACAAACTACATACATTCTTTTATTTATTTCTTAATATTTATATAATATATTTTTAATCTCATAAAAAAAAATCTAATAGATAAAAATGTATAAACCTGATTGAAGTACATGACGTGCCGTTGATAACAATACTATGCCCATTTCCCAATAAGACTCCACGTCATTCGATTGCATACGAATACCATCAAAAGTATTCAATTTTTGATGTAAATTTGTCATCTTCGATACAAGCTCTAATGCATCTTTCGAATAATTTTCTATTTTCTAAGAAAAAATAAATATCAAGCTAAGCTAAGAAATTAACATATCATTTGCATTTAATTTGTATGTGGATAAAAATGTTTAATTTACCATACGTTTCTTAATCCATTCCATGTGATTGTACGCCTTGTTACCTGCTAATTCGTACGGTAATTGAGAAAAATCGATGTACACATGCAGCCTCGTTAGAGTAATGTATAGTGGCTAAAACAATTAACAAAAATAAAAGAAAATCAAAGTTATTACGCCTTTATACAATAATAACGCACAATTAATATTTTATTAATTGTAATTGTAATATATACAATTAATATTAATAATATTTTTTTAATTTAATCCAAACCGAAAAGACATTTTTCTACTTACAATTAGCTATGTTCACATATTAGTTTAATGTCATTATTGTTGTAATATTTTTATTAAATTGATTTACTCACTTCGCCTTCTTTGTGAGATTTGGTACAACTGTCGACACGTTTATCCCAAAAACCATCCGGCCGTATCACGATCACAGAAATGACTTTAGATCCTATCAGATTCGTAGAAAGTCTAATACAAGATCTAGTTACGCGCCATGCACTATGACGCGCGTCTACAATTAGAACCAATCCATTTTCCTTCGTCTCGTCGCTATGTAATTAATCATCAATAAATATTAAATCACTTATATGTATAAATATATGTATATATATATATTTTTTTAAGTGTGTATACATCAGTTGTATACATTAATGAAATATCAAATATTCTATACCTGAAAATTGATATAAAATATAAAATGAGGGACTCTAATTTTGATTTCGTTGCTGAATCAAATTCTGGTGGAACATTTATTACTATTAAAGGTCGTCCGTCGTGATCACGACCGCCTGGAATATATGCAAGCTTTGATTCTAAATCCTCTAGAATATTCGCTGCTTTCAAATTTTTCATTGGCATCTCCATAACTATTTGTTAAAAAGAATCGTCTTAATATATAATTAGACAGTAATAATAAAATAAAATTTCCTAAATATATTTTTTATATTTAATGTTTTATGCATCAACATTTTAATTATAATT